TTAGCCAATCAGACTTGAGATATCCGAATATCAGGAAGTAAGACTCCAAAACCTGCAGTGCTCTGATCCCCTCTCCTGCAGCTAACTGCTACTTCCTGAAACTTCTCTTCGCTCCCACAGAGATCGACTCACAGGACATTCATTTATACTAGAGAACGCTGTTGATTTATTGAAAAATGAGTGAACTTGGTCTTTAAAAAGGGGAGGGTTGGGTCAGCATGATTAGCGCGCCATGAGAACTGGGCCAAACCAAGGCTTTTCACCATGTTACATAACAAAAACATTGTCGATGGGACCTCTGCACTGCGTCTCTTTCCACTGGGAGATTTTCAAATGTGAAAGTCGTGCGAGGTTACAAATTCACTGGATAATTGCAAGATTGTGCATGACTTCTGCAGTTTATAATCAAGGTGAAAAGCAACTGGAAATCTGCACGTGTCTTTTTTTATAAAGTTGACGGGTGTTTTATACTTACACTGCTCCCATGTTTGGCCTGTTGTCTGGCCAGATCTGAACTGCTGAGCTGATCTGGAAGCATAGCAAATAGAATATAGACCCAAAGCCAAATATGTAGGGGCCTGACGAGACACATTTCTGTCCAAGATGCACTCTTCCACTGTAATGGCGGCTAATCCGCAAGTTGGTGGAAAGCCAGGCTAACGTTGATGTTTGATTCACTTGTCCAGTGGTCCTCGATTTTTCCCGATCCAGCGTGTTTTAGTTGTTTCTCTGCTTCAGCACACCTGTTCAGCAGGTCATCAAGCTCCACACAAGAGATTAAAATCGGGTGTGTTGGAGCAGGGAAATGGCTAAAACATGCTGGATACACTTTTATCCCGGCTCAGTCCCAAATTTCCAAACTTCCAGTCATATGTGTGTGTGTGCACCCTCATCCCAAGGAATGAGTGGCTCTGATTGGATGTTGTGATTTGCCTCCAGCTGTGAGCCCTCGTAATGACAGGCAATGGTAGTGTTTGTCACTGATCAAACGTCGATTTAGTTTGCAACATTGTGACATTGAAAGGTCTGCATCCATCCAACCATTCCCACCTTTTTTCCCAGCCGAAACTCGTCTCTGTCATCGCAACCACAATTGCATTTGTTGCCTGGCAACGGCGGCTTATTGAACGTTTTATCAGGAAGTATTGAGATCAACTGGGAGCGTGTCAGTGGTTCAGAGGAATAATGTGTTGTAAATAGATGCTTGTGGAAAAACTGTCTCAGCGGTAGCTCAGGGGTTTAATAAAGAATGAGATGACTCGTGTACCTAAAAGCTCACATTGAACGCCACCTAAAAATGCCATGTGGAAGAAATGAGAGCTGCCAACACAGGCAGGTGCAAATGACGGTGTGATGCCGCAACTTTTTTTTTTCACATTCGTTTGTTTTTGCGGTAAATAAGTAGGAAAGCAGCAAAGATCCTCTGCATCTCACACCATCACTTTGTCTGATTGTGTTTGGTCACAAAGGGATAAATCTTTATTTTCATTATTTATTGGACAACTTGTGTTAGAATTCATAAGGAGATTGAGTTTGATGTATTTTAAAAGGATAAATCCACCCTACGACCGATGTCTAAAAGAGAGATTAGCTCTGTGTTTGTGTAAACAAACTGTTGCCACGGTGAGATAAAACACCGTCTGATTATGACTCTGCTGAATATCTGTTTTCAGATTAAGGCTCAAGTACACATTTTACGTTTTTATTCTCTTTCCGTCTCAGACCCCCCATTGGAAGTAATTTGAAGTCTTTCTATCAAATAAAATGCAAAAAATAAATAAATAAAAAAAGCTGATTAAATATTTGTATGAATGCGGCAGCTGTTCAGGACTACAACTCGTGTGTTTAAATTAGGACATCCATCCATCCATCCATTTTCATCCGCTTATCCAGAGTCGGTTCGTGGGGGCAGTAGCTTAAGACGAGAGGCCCAGACTTCCCTCTCCCCAACCACTTGGGCCAGCTCCTCCGGGGGAATCCCAAGGCGTTCCCTGGCCAGGTGAGAGACATAGTCCCTCCACCGTGTCCTGGGTCTACCTTTAGGTCTCCCGGTTGGACGTGCCCGGAAAACTTCACCAGGGAGGCATCCAGGAGGCATCCTGACCAGATGCCCGAGCCACCTCAACTGGCTCCTCTCGTTGTGGAGGAGCAGCAAATCTACTCCGAGCCCCTCCCGGATGACCGAGCTCACCCTGTCTCTAAGGGAGAGCCCAGCCGCCTTGCGGAGAAAACTCATTTCGGCCGCTTGTATCCACAATCTCATTTTTTCGGTCACTACCCAAAGCTCATGACCATAGGTGAGGGTAGGAACGTAGATCGGCCGGTAAATCAAGAGCTTCGCCTTCTGACTCAGCTCTCTCTCCACCACGACAGACCGGGACAATGCCCGCATCACTGCAGACTCAACACCAATCCGCCTATCGATCTCACGCTCCAGTTTTCCCTCACTCGTGAACAAGACCCCGAGATACTTAAACCCCTCCACTTGGGGCAGGACCTCATCCCTGACCTGGAGAAGGCATTCTACCCTTTTCCGAATCAAGACAAACATAAAATGTGTGTTCAAAGATTCTGCACAAATTAATCATAGAAGCTGCTAAAGTAATATTTCGACAAGGGAACTAGGCAGTTTTGGCTTTTTTTCAGCACCCCCTAGTGTCTGTTTGTAGAATCAAAAGCAAAACGTATCCCTTCGCTTTGCGTTCGTCTTTTTAACACCTTAGCCTAACAGCTGAAACGTCTCCCCCGCCTTCCTTACTGTGTACAGGAGCGATTAAAAACATCCAGGAAACACGCTGGAATCAGATTGCAGCGTCAGGTATGTCAGCTCAAACGTTTTCTAAGTCCCAACAGAGCAACCCACCAGTCTGAAGTTGCAAGTGGAATATTCTGGCCACAATGGGGCTTTTCATTAACCCTGGAAAAGGGTCATTTTAGCACAGACTTGTTCAAGAAAATTATTAAAAAACATGAGAATGTTGCAAAGTTTGGCCTTGAATAGAACGTACATACAAGCTAGCTCAGAAACAAAGGTTTTTACTGAATTTTCAGCCAAATAAAGCAGCTGGAGTTGTGTTTCGTTTTATTTTTTAGTCACGTTTAACAGTAAACATCCAGCAGAACCAAGGTCTGAGTGACAAACTTTGCTCCATCCTGTGAGTTTAACACACTTGGGAGATGATGATCCTAGGAGAATCCATCCGACCGAGCTTCCAGCTTATCAGGCCGTTTCCACTATTGCACCAACTGGGTAATTTCACCAGGCCGGTCCAAAAGGCCCACTTTCTGGTCAATTTCTGGAACCAACCGATTACCTGAACTGTGGTATGTGCTTGGGCAAAGCCTGGTAACGTCGCTGGGCGGGGCTTCTGGTTAACTCATCCTGATATCACCAAACAACCCACATTTGTAAAACTGGAGTTGCTGGTGAAGCGGACTGAAAGGAAAAAAGCTGTAGAATCACCATTTCTAAACTAAAACACAGAAAAAGGGAAATCTGTCTGCAACACCATCCTTTATGCTGCTTTAGTCTGCCTCTGAATGCTGCTTTTTCCATCACACATCCCCTGATCTCAAAACACGTCATACTTGACACATAAAAACTTCTTTGATGTTATCGATGTGTAGGCTATGGCCGTGGACGCCTTAGCAAAGGGATGGTGGAGACGCAACGGCTGAGGGGACCGAGCCATTAGCCTAGTGAGCTAGACCAAATTCTTGCTTTGCAAAGTTTGGTCTAGGCATGCTCCATTGGAACCTCTGCAGCTCCTACCAGGACTCTGGCTAACCAATCACAGCTCTCTATAGGGGTTTCAAACACATAAAGAGCTGTGATTGGTCCATAATGGTGGGCCGATCATAGTGCTCTATCTGCCTAGTGAACAAATCATAGAGCTTTATCCACTTTGTGGGCCAATCAGGGCACTCTATATGCCTGGTGGGTGGGATGATGCAACAGAGTGAAACAAGAGTATGTCACATTCATTGTCCAGTGGAATGGGGAGATCATTTGAAAGACAACGGTAGAACCCGCCCCACAACCGAGGGGGCGTGGCCAGACTAAATAATACATTTATTTAGTCTGGCTCGCCAGGCTACCGAGCCATCGTATTCTCCCCATCACACAGCTGTCGGCGCTAAACCTCCAGCTTCAGGAGAGTTGCTGGTGCGACAACTCAACAGTGATGGTTGATGGTAAAGTCGTTAGCCACATTTCTCCTGCTAAGCAATAGTTACAAGGAACTGCTTTTTAAACAACAAAACACAACAACAGAGACCCCGTACCACAGCCTTTTACTGTAGGAAAATGGAAAAACTCAGATTAGTGCAAAAAGAAAAATGAGAGCCCAGCAGGGCCAGAAATGAAGCTGCTCTTAGGGTGGATTCATCTTTTAATTGGTGGTATTTTTAGATTTTCCTGCTTTTGCTGTGATTCTCTTGTAATCTCTGCTTTGGCTGGGACTAGAAATGAGTTATGAAGAAGTAAAGAGGGTGGGAGAATAGAGGAGATGTGGATGAGAAGAGAGGAGGAGGAACAGGAGGGATGGAAGCACGAGGGGCGAAGCTCGGCTTGTGTTTGAATAAATATGACGCTGGGTGGAGAGATAACTCTCTCTCTCTCTCTCTCTCTCTCTCTCTCTCTCTCTCTCTCTCTCTCTCGCTCTCTGTTCCAGCATCCACCGTTTTCTCCTAATGCTGACATTTCTGTTGTCTCCCTTAAACAGTTTGAGGAAAAAGCGCCTGTTCTATTTTAAATTCGCTTTTCTTGAAAACATTTTGAGCTCACGTTACCTGAGGATTTATCTGTTTCACAGAGGCTCCCACGGTTTTGTGTTTTCAGCTTTCCCGGTTATTTATGCCTCCAACTGTCCTGTTTTTGTAACTCTTCCAGCTTCACCAGGCTAACCTTGCTGCTCACACATCGCACAATCAAAAAGACGTTTCACTGATTTAGTGTGGAGCTTCAAAGCCCCCGAGGTAAAGCTGTGCTGACTTCGTCCTTTTCCTTCACCTCATGATGAAACTTTGAACATTAAAGAAATTTGCATAACATTTAGTTCCTCTCAGGATGAATTTACTATCACCTCTTTTACATTTTACAGCTTCATAATTTGATTTTCCATGATGGGAAATTACAAAACACTACATCAGATTTTGCTTCTTCATTTATTTATTTTTGTTCAAAACTTAAATTAAAAAGAAACACATCCTTCCATAACAGTAACTTTTGACACTTTTAGCTTTGGTGCAGCTTAAAAAAAATACATCTGAGAATTATCCAAAAGGCTCTTAAACATTTGTGGGAAATTAATGAAGTAAAAAGTATTTTCATGATTAGCTTTTATCCTAAAACTGAACAAAAAATGTTTTCTACTAACAATTGTATAAAAAATTCCAATTTTGGCTTTTTGGGATTGAAATAAAACCATCCGCTTGTACATAGATCTTTGAAGAAGCGTTACGTGAGATCGACACCCTGTGGTAAAATACAGGTATTGCAGCCCTTTTTCTAAACACAAGTGATTCTCTCTCTT